TTGGTCAGACACCTCAATTTTTTGGGCCAAAAGTATTTTTGACCCAAAAAAGCACTTTTGGCTCCAAAAAAAGCTTGGTCAAACACGCTATTAGTTTCACAATCAAAATTGAAAGGGACAGTGGGTAGATAGAAGTTGGTGTGGAGGATAATTGTACTTTACTCCTTTCATATAAGTAGTATTTTATTTAAGGGTGTTAAACGGGTCGGGTCAGCCCGGTTCCAAACCGGCCTAGACCAATTAAAATCGAAATCGGCCCGGACTGGTAGAAGGGGGCTGGGTTGGGCTGGGTTAAGGGTGTAGGGTGGTTTGCACTATTTACCTTCGAACTATCGGTTACCCGGACCGGTCAAACTCGGTCAATGAACAATGTTCTTCAACCGATTAACCGGCCTGGCCCGGACCTGTCCAGACCGGTTTAACGGTAATTTTTTTTTAAAATTGGGCCCAGATTTCTGACCGTTGGCAATGGTCCATTTCAGAATATGGCCGTTGCCCAACGGCTGAATTGCACAAATAGCCCAATTTTGGTTTTTTTTTTAAATTAACCCCCCTTTGAAAAACTATAAATACTCCCCCCCCTCCTCATTTCTTCACTCATCTCTCAATCTCAATTCTGATATTCTCTCATTCTTCAATCTTCATTCTTCACCTATTAAAGTGCAATCAACTATTTGGCTTTTTTTTTGGAATTTAATTTATCGTAGTATTTATTATTTGAAGTTTGAACAATTGAACTTCAAAATTGGAACAATTGACGTTTCTTCGTGGTAACATTGGAGTTGTGAAATTATCAAGTGCCCAATTTATTGCCGAGTTCGGTGCACTCCCTCCAATTTTTTCTCTTATTTACTATTTTATTTGCATATTTATTTTTTGCTTGTAGTTAAATTTTGCAATATGTTTAATGCTGCAAAAAGAGTTTGTAACAAGGTTACTAATCGGGGAAATAAAAAAAGAGGTAGTACTTCAGCTTCAACATCTGGTAGTAATTTAAATACATCTCCAAGTATTCCTGAAACATTACCTGATAATAATACAGATTATGAACAATTCCAGGAAGATTTTGGTATAGAAGACAATGAATTAGAATGGAAGATGAGATACCACTTACACTAGTAGTGTTGGAGCTGCTAGCAGGGGTGGTGGTCGTGGTGCTACTAGTAGACCACCTGTGGCCCCGACTAGTAATCGTAAAAAAAGAAGTAAGGTTTAGAAATTTTTTGAAGACATACAAAATAGTGATAGAGTTAAATGCAAACTTTGTAATGATACTTTTAAACATAAGGCTAGAGGAAAATTAGGGGGGACTGGGACACTTAGTAGACATATGAGAATTGAGCATCCTATAGAATGGGGATCTGATGGAGATGGAAATCAATCAACTCTAAACCCTACTACTAGAGGTCTTGTGAAATATGATAAAATGAAGGATTGTGAGGAGTTAGCAAAAATGATTACTTTGAGTTGTCTACCTTTTTCTTTTACTTCTTCATCATATCTTATTATGTATATTCAAAGGATTTACAATATTTTATTTAAATGTATCCCTAGAAGTACTTGTAGACCTGATATCTTTAAACTTCATGGACAATATCAAACATACATACGTTATTTGTTTAGCCACCTTCCTTGTAGAGTTTCTCTAACTTCTGATATTGGCCATGCTGTTAATGGAAATGATTATTTGACAATTATATGTCATTGGATAGATGATACTACTTGTATGCAAAAACGTATTATTGCTTTTAAGTATGATGAAGATTAGAGTCATACTGTTGTGTTTATAAGTAGTACTATTTATGAAGTTGTTGAATTTTATAATCTCAAGCAAAAAGTATTATGTATGTCTTTTGATAAAGCTTCTAACAATAATGCCGCAATTTCAATATTAAAACTGCATTTGAAACCACCTCTTGATGAAATTTGTCATGTTAGGTGTGCATGTCATGTTTATAATTTAATTGTTAAAATTGACCTTGATTTATTTTCAACTGAGATTACTCATGTTAGAAGAGCAGTTGGTGTTATTCAAGGAAATAATAGACAATCTAGAATAAAGGAATTTAAGAATAAGTGTGTCCAGTATAACCTTAAACCCAGATTCATGCCAGACGAAATTGTTACTAGATGGAATTATACATATATATCAAGCAAAATTCAAAAAATATTTCTTTTCAATTCCTCCGATTTACTCAGTTGGTGTTGTTTTAAATCCTTCTATTAAGATGTCTGAGTGTCACCAATTAATGAATGCTTTATATACTTATATGGAGATTGGACCAACTGAAACCCCAAATTTATATACTTGTATGAACAAGCTAAATGAATATTTACAAAAATTATATAATTATTATGCAAATGTAATTGATGATGCTGCTCATAGTGTATGCAATGTTAATTCCACTATGCACTGTACCACTTTTTCTACTGTGGATGATGAAGGAGGCCTTGATAATTTTAATATTTTTTCTACATTTTCTAACACTCAAACTAGTAGCAGGAACATTGATGAACTTTAATTCTACTTGCAGAAGCAAAAAGAGCCTCGCACAAAGGAATATTCACCGTTGGGATGGTGGCATGAGAATGGAAAGCAATTTCTTGTTCTTTTCGCTATGGCTCGGGACGTGCTGAATGTGCCAATTTCACCTGTTGCATCAGAGAGTGCATTTAGCCAAGCAAGACAACAACTTGGAGACACCCGTCACTCATTGGGAAGTAATGCTTTGGAAGTTTTAGTATGTTTCAGAGATTGGATTAGATCGGAACGAAGAAATCAAGGACGTGAAGATGTTGATAGCCCAGAAGACGAGGAATTTATAGATATATTAACACATGGTAACCCATCCGAATATAACACTCCAGAAGAAGGTCACTCAGTTCATATTGATTATGAAGAACTTACTAAGGCAATGCAGAACCTTTGAATTTACTCTTTTTTGGTTAATTTACTTGTTGTTAAATGTAAACTTTTCAATTTGTAAGTTTGAGTTTTGAAATAAATATAGCACTTGCAATTTATAAGTGTAATTTTTCCCATCTTCCTTGTATTCTTTATATTTTTACTTTGTATTAATATAACTTACAATAGTTATACAAAATACAAAAAAAAATTAAAAATAATACTAAACCTGGCCCGACCCCATCAACCCGTAACCCTTACGGTTCAATTTTTACTCGGATAAAGCCAAATCCGTTAAACCCGGTAGGCCATCTGGACCATAACCCCTGTGGGTACTAAAATTCTCTACCCAGCCCGGCCCACCCATTGAACACCCGTAATTTTATTTGATATTATTTGATTGTGTAAAAAGTTAAAAGTGTTAACATGCCTTATTAAATATAATAAGTAAAAATGAAATATTAAAATAATAATTTGTACTTACTACATAAGTTCGATAGACAAACATCATATCATAATTAAAAATTTAAATAATGTAATAAATATAAAAATATAATAGTCTATAAAGTTGTATTCTCCTGTTTCAATTTATGTGAAACTATTACTATTTGGTGAAATAACATTAAACGTGATGCATCTTATAAAGAAAAGAAAATGATAAACATTGGACAATATACTGGACACACAAAACAAAAAGAAAAAATATAGAACTTTCAGAATTTAATTTTAAAAAGGAAGAAAAACTTAAAGTGGATATTAAATTAGTGAAATTCACGAAACACCTATGAATGCAAATATTTATTTGCACTTTGTGTTTACATTAAATCAAATGATTCAATCTTAACCATTAAAAGTTACAGCATATATTATTCAACTATGGTTAAAGAATGACGGTGTATATGCAAGATAAAATCTTGTATTGATTGGTTTAGTTTAAATAATAGAAGAATATCCCAGTAAATATTTACCACCTATGAATGTGATGAGATGAATGATTAGGATTTCGTCATTCTTGAAATGGAGAACTATTCAATTGGATGAATTTGGGAATATAATCTTTTTATGTGGTGAGCACTTTACTCAAAGTAAGATAGTGCGAAACTAAATTAGTTAAGTCTTAAAACAACTATTGAACACAAAAAAGGAGGCAAACTAAGGGTGCACTCTTAAGGTTACAAGGTAGGCGTAAGCCTCATGAGTATTTAATTTTTAATATTTTAAAATATAATATAATATAATTACAGTAAATATATTTAAATAGATAAAATTGCATAAATATTGAAGAAACTATACATACATACATACATACGCGCGCACGCTCCCATCCCCCAAAAAAATTAGTTAAAATTATTCATTATCTACTACTTGCAAGCACAAGTAACTTGAGTTGAAAAGAATAAAGTTTTCTATAAGAAGGAACAAAAGGATGGCTAACTTACAATTTGAACTTTAAACTTGCTGCCATGGAGGAGAATGAAGTTTTCTAGTATTTGTAATAAATAAATAAATAAATGTTCATTGCTTTTGGGAGATAGTAGCAGACTAATGGAGAAAATAAAAAATGGGAAATACCATAAATAAGGGCTTCTAGCCATAAAAAAAGGTATTGACTTTTAAATTTAATGTTTCAGTTCCTTTTTAAGACTTTTGAGTAATTACAAGCTAACTTTTGAGAATTAGGGTATTATATTAAGGACTTATTCAACAAATTTTATTTTAATTTAAAAAAGTCTGTTGAACTTACACCTCACTTTAAAAACATGTCTTAACGCTCGGGTGTATGCCTCTTATGACTTTCGCTCCCCACAATTGCCTCAGGGTAATTTTGGTGCACCTCGCCCTAGGGCATGCCCTGAAAACGCCTTTTAAAACACTGCTCGATGCAAACATCAATGTCTTAATCCACGACTCAAATCAATAACTTATAGATTACATAGAGATAACTTTACCGTTGCTACGAGGCTCGCCTTCCAACTATCGAACACCAGATAAAAAAAAAGGTAAATATAAAATTTGAGAATAATATAGCCAATGAAACTTGGAATAGTGGAGGATTAGTTAAATATAAGAAAAATCAGCAAACTCAACACGCAACCAATATTAGGAGGACTGCAACACACTTCCCGTTATTCAAAGCCGCGTCCCATACCTTCTCCTTTTCCTCTGTACATACATACATACGTCTCTATCTCTCTCTCTCCATATAACAAACACACACACACACACACACACAGCTGCCTGATTATTTTTTAACCTGTCCAAATTTCTTTGATTTGCGGTGCTCGCCATGTTTCTTTGAGGTAATTAACTAGTTTCATCTGGGTTATGTATCCTTATACTTTATACTGTATTGCATATTCTCTAATTGCGTTTTTTTCTAAATCTCCTTATTTTTGGAGTTAACTTTAAGTTTTAGGTTAATTTTTCTATTTGTCAACTGTAGCACATCATTTAGATTTGTGTTCTCTTTTGGTTGATTTGATACATTTCTTAGCTAATGGGTGTTTTGGGATTTTTTTTTAATCTCTGTTTACCACGTTCATGAAAGCACTGTTGTTTAAGTCTATAATAAATTAGTCTGCTCAATTTATGTGATGACTGGCCACAGAGTTTAAGACAAAAGAAAAACAAAATTTTAAAACTTATGGTGTAAAAATTACATTTTTGTGACTTTAAATAAATTCATTAGGGGTAAAATACGAAATTTTTAGTTAAATTATTTTTGAATATAGAGTAAATTTAAGATTTTAAGTTAGTGGACGCAGATAGCAATTATGCTACTCTTAGGGGTCGTTTGATATGATGGAAAAGCAAAAATAATTCTGGGATAAAAATTTAGTATCGCTTTATCCCTTGTTTGGTTACTAATCTTGGGATAAGCCATCTCAGGGTTAAAAGTAGTACTGGGATAACCGGCCATCCTTGTTCATAGAGGTTGGGGAGCTCTCTCCAAACTACTAGGTCAAAGGTTCAATGCTGATTAATGGTTTAAAAAAGTAGTATTGGGATAACTTATACCTGCAGAGAGTGGAATAGTAATCATAGATAAGTTATCCCAGGATACAACAACAATACCAACAATAACAGACCCCGTATATTCCCAAATCCCAACAGGTGGGGTCTAGGGAGGGTAGTCTGTACGTAGACCTTACCCTATCCCTACCTAATGAAGGTAGCTAAGTTACCCCAGGATAAAACAGTAAATTTGACCATCCCAGGATTGATACAACATACCAAACAGTCAATAAGAAATGATACCAGGATAACTAATCCCAACATAACTAATCTCGGTATAAGTGTATAACTAATCCCAACGTAACAAATCCCAGCATAACTAATCTTCAAACCAAACGACCCCATAATGTTTTCCTTTTGCGCTGAATAAGGTTTCAATAGTTTAATGTGGTTAGTATAAATTGGAGTTCACTGAGTTCCCTCTACTTTGCTGAAGTTTATGTGTTGTATTTATATTTTAATCTCAATGATAGTGTCTCTAGAGATGTCATACCAATGATCATTGCTTTTTCTCTTTTTTCCTTTTTGCTAATAAAAGCTTGGAACTTTATTGTGCATACTTGGGTGAAGTCCAGTTTCGCTTATTAAGACCTTTTCTTGAGAAAGAAGATTAAGAAAACCAGGTGCAATGAGCTTACGAAATAAAGTTTTTTTTTTCTTTCTAAAACTGATCTATCAAATGAATATGGGTGAAAGGGGATAAGATTGAAAACAAATGAAGAAATTTTAAAAAGAGGCAAATGTAGTGGAAAGTAGTGTTTCTTATATGATCATTTATGTGAACTTGATTAAGCTTGCTCCAATGCTTTACTATACTTATGGAAAGAGTGGTGGAAAGAGAGGAAAGTCTGAGCTGAACCATGAATGGAGAAATAGACTCACATGGGTGATTCCAAGTTAATGGATTAAGGTTTAAGTGGTTTAATTTCATTCATCTGGTCATGATAGTTCTATTTAACTGTGTATCTACGTGTGTTTATCTTGTTTACGCACTTTAGGCTGTCTTGACATTGGATGAACTTCACAAAAGTTAGGCCTTGGCCTCGGTAGTTTGGATTTTTCATTTATCCCCTATCCCGCATTGTTTTGTCGTTGCTCTTTCCCTCATATTTGGCTTTGGTTTATAAAGCCAAGACTAGAATGGTTAAAAGTTGTTATTAGTTGTTGTTTAGGGTCATGGTCTAACTTTTGTTTGTATCTACTGATTTATAGAAATCATTCTCTAGCTAACTAGAGCTGAAGTAAAGCTTCTGTCAGACAACTAGGAACATCCTGTAATATCTCTGCATATATAATCAAAGCTGAGAAAGTTTTCAACTAGAAAGTATAGGAGAATCTATACAGTATTTGTGCGGCATGGGTGGAAGATGTGATTGTCTATAATGCATTCTGACTGAGGTAACTGTACTTGTTCTCATTCATAATGGAATCTTAGATGAATATTAGGGATATGTCTAGATGTTTGTATGTTTGCAGTCCCATAAGCATAAAATTAACCTCAGCTACATTCTGGTTTTATATAATTTTAGGATTTGTTAGTCATAGCAACGATGTAATCTTAGGTTGTGATATTTTTGCAGTGACAAAGATTGGCATCTTTGCGCGTGTCCCATTCTCTTCTCCAACCCTGTTGAAAAGGTTTACTATTTCAAAATTATACTTGAAAACTCTGATGGAGGTTAAGCTATGGAATGACAAGCGTGAAAGGGAAATGTATGACAACTTTGGTGAGCTCTTTGCGATTATCAAAGCGACAGAGAAGCTAGAGAAGGCTTATGTTCGTGACATCGTTTCACCAGCTGTATATGAAACTGAGTGCCAGAAACTGATTGCTCAGTTCAAGACCTTATCTTCTACATTGAAAGATGCTGTACCTAACATTGAGCGATTTCATGACACCTACAAAATGGATTGCCCTGCTGCACTAAACCGACTTGTGATCTCTGGTGTGCCAGCTACTGTAGAGCACCGAGCTGCTGCTTCAATGTCAGCTGTAACTTCAGCTGCTGTTGTGGCCGAGTGTGTGCAGAATTTCATCACTGCAATGGACTCGTTGAAGTTGAACATGATTGCAGTTGACCAGGTCCATCCCCTGTTGTCAGAGCTCTCATCTTCCCTCAATAAGCTGTCGATTCTGCCGGTGGATTTTGAGGGAAAGACAAAGATGAGAGAGTGGCTTTCAAGGTTGTCGAAGATGGGGGCTGCAGATGAGTTGACAGAACAGCAGGCTCGTCAACTCCACTTTGATCTGGAATCCTCGTACAATTCTTTCATGGCAGCACTGCCCACTGATGGAGCTTAGTTGACTATTTCAATAGGTGGTATGTTTGTATATAAGATTGTTGTTTCATTTAGCAAGCTCTTAACACACATGATTCTATCTTTGATTGGAGTGCTGGTATATGAGTAGAATAGTCATCTATATTTTGGGACTTCATACTTGTTAGATAATTGTTAGACTGGTGGTGGTACCATTTTGGATACTATGAACTCATTATGGATCGCTCTTATATCAGTCTATATGCTGCTTGTGCTAGTTTAGTTATATTCTTGGATTCGAGAGAGCTTTATGCTTTTGTATATCAATGGTAAACTATCTCTCTTTTGATGTTTTGGGTGGTGATATTGACTGTGCACGAGGCTTGCAAAAACTAGTTTGCTCTTGAATTGTTAAATGATACTTGCATTGCTGCAGTCCCACTGGGTTGGCTAGTTGATAGTTTTCTGATTTATTGTTTTTACTGTATATCCAATATGTTCTATTTATGAGATTTCTATTGCATATCATGTTCTGGTCATAGCCCTCATGGATTCAGTTGCTTTATGTTTCTGACTTTGGGTTAATGTATTGTTGGATGCTTTTATTAATGCCACCTTATTTTCATTAGGCCCTTATCGACCAGTTCTTAATCATACGTCTTTTGCATATTAATTTTGAGAGTAGTTGACAGGAGCCTGGATTGTCATTTATCAACTACAGCATTTTGACTAATTGAGTTTATTATGCGAATAAAATTTATTGCATTTCCAGTTCTCTTCTTCATCTTGTTTGTGCTCATAGTTTAGTTTCCATTCTTAGATTTCTAATACTATCTGTTATCTTTTTTCTGTTCTGGCTGTGGTTACTGCTCTCTTTACATGGATCCTCCTTTGCTGTATTTCCTTTATCTAAATTGCTGTGTTTATGCTTTTCTTGAGCCGAAGGTCTATCGCAAACATCCGATCTACCTTCGCAAGGTAGGGGTAAGGTCTGTGTACACACTATCCTCCCCAGACTACACCTGTGGGAATATTCTAGGTATGTTGTTGTTGTTGTTGTTTATGCTCTCATGGTTTAGGTTCTGAGTCCCTTTCATGAGCTGTGTTTGAAGTTTTGAACCTTCAATAGGCATGTTGCAACTGCTTTCTTTGACAGTTCTTTTTTGACAAAAGATACCTTATTGCATCATAGTAATTTTTGTTCACTACCTTAACAATTCTCTTTAGAGCTTTGGCATTTTACCTTTCCATTGGTTCTTGATGCAAATTTCTCCAAGTATAATTATGGTGATTCTTGACAATGTAGTAATCAAGCTGCTGAGCCTGAGATTATGACCTTGAGGAGTAGCTCTTTCTTTGAGTAGTATTTTAGCTATACCCTTTCTAGCTTTCTATACAGAGAAGGAGAAATTGAACTCCATTTTTGTCGTCTCAGTGCGTTACTGGGACTGGTTTTGTTACGGAGGCATGCCAATGGTTGTTTTGTTACGGAGGCATGCCAATGGTTCTTAGGGTTCCAATTTGCTGAGTCCTTGCCGATTCTCCATTTCCCGGGCTCGAATTTGTGACTCCTTGCCGATTCTCCATTTCCCGGGCTCGAATTTGTGACTCCTTGCCGATTCTCCATTTCCAAGGCTCGAATTTGAGATCTCTAGTTAAGGTTGAAGATATTTCGATCATCCCACTATGGCAGACTTTTGTACAATTGACGTGGGCGTTGAAGATGATAGACTTTAATGAATACAATCCACCCCTTTGAGGGTCTTAACATATCAGTTTATCCTTTGTTTTAAGAGTGAAAATCTCACCCCCTACTATATATGCAGCAAGTGGAAGTTACACCACAATGTTTGTATACCATATTTTATACTATATGGAAAGTAATCTCGAGATTACTAATTTCTGGATAAAATAGAAAAATGACACATTTGTCCTTTTTCAAAGATGCTAAACATGTGAGGTTATATTCGACTATGACACGATAGCTAAACATGAGACCGCCTTGGTTGGCTATTTCTAAGAATGACTCACTTAGTTACTTAAGATGAAACACACTTTCTTAGAAGAAGCAAATTAAAGGTTTATGGTAGGGATTTGTGTACGCTCAGCTCTCCCCAGATTCTACTTGTGAAATTTTCACTATTTGCTGCTATTGTATAACTCAATACAATATAATTAAAATTAAGGGGATTAAAGGCTTTTATATAGGCATACAAAATTGAAGGAATATGGTCAATAATTAATGTGGGATTAAAACGTACTAAAAGATAAGGATTAGAACTCAAAAAATAAAGAATAACAAGTTACTGAATCATCATATGACAAGCTGCTGAATCATCAAGTGATAAGGTGATGCATAAACAAATGACAAGCTATTACATTAGCAAGTACTCCCTCCGTTCACTTTTACTTGTCACGTTTTGACTTTTTACGCCCTTTAAGAAATAATAAATGAAGCATAATTTACTATGATACTCATATTAATTGATGCGTATTTTTAATTGTTTTGAGAAAATAATTTGAAATGAATAATTAATGTTATTGGTATAACAGAAAAACAGAAATTATTTTCTCTTGATATACTAAAAGTGACAAATAAAAGTTAAACGGAGGGAGTAGTCAAGAAGATATCGAAAAAAAGAGCACGTGAAATGATTTAGCAAAATAGGTTACTAACCAACTTTGCACCAAAAAAGAAAAAGCCAAAGTTTGTAAACTTTTATTAATTTCAATTATTCAGCAAAGGTACGTCTTTTAAGATCCAATTGAGAAGAAAGACAACTCTAGATATGATTCCTTTTACTTAGATCATTAAAAACACTATCTGGACATAGATCAAAATATTTCGTGGATCAAACTGTAAGCATAAACTTTAATTTATATCAGGATCTTGAACATGATAATCTTATATGTAATTGCCATAGAAAACATACCTGAAGCGGAATCCATTATCTTGAAGCGGAAGCGTTAATTCAAAAACTGGTTTCTTGCCCCTTGCCCTAACTTTATGTTACCGCCGCCTTTAATGATGGAAGAAAGAAAGTAAAATCCGGTAACCCTAATGGGTGGGGAGAGGACCAATTTATAGAGGTTCTCATTTAATCCGGTACGTTCATCCACTAACCGATCAGACGGATGAGATTTGCTCATTAATTAAATATTAATTATGGGCTTAATCTTATTGGGTCACATACACGTAAGAAAATAGTTTACATTCTCCCATTTGGCCCAATAATCACATAATATTAATATTTAATATAGTAACATTAGTTGCGCATAAACAAATCTCTTCTATAATGTCCATCATAAATACCATAATACGATAAACTACTAAATGTGAGTTATGGCGGTTATATATAATTTGTCTACATACTCCCTTCCATATATCACAACATTAGCAACTCATTGTACCAGGTCCATAAGCTATAAAATATTATGGTCCACAATAATATCTTATTGAGACTTATCCTATAATATCTCAAAACAATAATGTGTACACCATTATGAGAAACAGGAAATCACTAATGTATATCAGAAACATATAAATGAGCTCAGAGTGTCAAAACATCATAAATACATCAGTCATAAATACAGCCATGATCCATTCTATGTACGTGTTCTTTAAATATCTTTGGCTGTAAACCTTTCGTTAATGGATCTGCAATCATGAGATCAGTTCTAATATGCTCAAGTGACACTCTTTGTTTCTGAACTTCCTCCTTGACGGTAAAGTACTTTAATTCCATATGTTTGGCACCTTTGGAGTACTTATCGTTCTTGGAGAAGAATACTGCTGCAGAATTATCACAGTAAATTTTCAGCGGCNATTTCAGGTACCTCAAAACTTTCTTAGCAACTTTCCAATGATCAATTCCTGGGTTACTCTGATATCTTCTTAGCATTCCGACCGCAAAACTAATATCCGGTCTTGTGCAAGTCTGAGCATACATCAGACTACCAACAATTGAAGAGTAAGGAATTGATTCTATTTCCTTTCGTTCTACATCATTCTTAGGGCATTGCATGAGACTAAATTTGTCCCCTTTTTGAATTGGAACAATTCCTGTTGAACAATTATTCATGTTAAATCTCTCTAGAACTCTTTCGATATAGCCTTTCTGAGACAATTCCAATAATTCTTGTGATCTATCACGGAATATTTCTATTCCTATCACATAGGATGCCTCACCCATATCTTTCATTTCAAAATTCTTAGAGAGAAAATCTTTAGTCTCACG